CCCCCCGTGGGGTCCCATCCCCCTCCACCCCAGTCCCACCCATATTTTATTCCAGTTCTCCACATCCAACTCTTTCTTTTCTAAAACCCAGGGCAAAACCATTTATTCCGGGAGTCTCTGGGACACAGAGGTGGGAAGGATATTCCAAGGCTTCCAGTCAGTCCAGGAGACCTGTCACCTCCCCACAGCCCCTGCCTGGCTCTGCTCTGCAACAAAGAAACCCTCCAGAAAGTCGTGTTCTCCTCAAGTGGCCGCTCTGGGGGCTGATCCTTGCGCAAAAACAGGATGTTTGATTAAAGAAAACACCCTGAAATTATAAATTTCGATGACATTCCGGCGCCACGTGGAAAACAACTCCCCCTGCATTTCACACCGGCACATCCACAGCGGCTGAGGTTTAACCATGTGAAAGGGAAGGAAAGCTGGAGGATTATTCCCAGTTCCTGAGAATATTCTGGATGTTCTCCCCTCCAGACACAGCCCCAGAACCGACACCGACCGTTCACATCCCAGGAGAGGGGTTGCCATTAACGAGGATTCCCAGTTTCTCTGCAGGGAGGAAAACGGGCCTGGGGCAGATCTGAGGCGTTGTTTGAGCGTTAAGGTACAAAAACTGCACGTTAAAAATCCTGACTGCCTCGGAATGTGACCTCGAGCTGCCCCAGAGGGATTTCCAGGGAGCAGAGGGCTGGTTTAATGGGAACATGACTCACTCCACACCCGTGAGCACATGGTATCACTTAGCAGAGCACAAACACAACTGCAGCTCCTCAGCCCCTCTCCAGCTCAGCAAGGAATTCCGTGCTCCCAAACATCCTCCCGAAGCCTGGAACGCTCCGAAATCCAATTAAAAAAACCCACTTGGGAAAGCAGGGATCTGCTTCTCAGGAAGCAATTTGCAGGGATTCCCCTCAGAGGAGGCTTAGAGGGATAACCAGCTTTGGGAAGCAGGTGGGACACAGCCCGGGTCAGGGATAATACTGAAGGACCGAGGAAACACTTTGCTTGCCGAGAGAAATTCCCGTCCCGCACCTCTGGACGCCGCCACACCGACTCAACCCCTCGTTAAAAAGAGTCTTTAATGAGAATCCCCCTCCGAGGTCCGTGAAACCACCTCGTCCTTCGTCCTCAGCGAGTCTTCCCGGGGGGGACCGTCCGTGCCGGAGCTTTCGGGACGCCGGAGAGCCCGGCCCGGCCCCCCGCGGGAGCGGGACAGCTGCGGGGCTCGGGGCTAGATGGAGGAGTCGACGGTGAAGTGGCCGTTGTGCGAGAGGGTGCCGCGGTCGGCCGTGTTCAGCTTGACCACGGTGGGCGTGTACTTGGAGTTGCGGGGGCACGGGAAGCACAGGATGCGGCGGAAGGTGCTCCTCATCTCCGTGTCGCGGTACGAGTAGACGATGGCGTTGATGAGGGAGTTGATCTCGGCCAGCAGCAGCACGTACTTCTCCACCGCCAGCACGTTGCAGCTCTTGCAGCCCAGCCCGTCCAGGAGCAGCACGACCTGCCCGGGGGTCCAGCAGATCACAAAGGCACCTGGGAGAGAGGTAAAACGGGGAAAAACAGGGGTAAAGTGAGGGGGAAGTTGGGGGAAATCAGGGGGAAAACAGGGGAAAGTCGGGGAAGAATCAGGGGGAAATCAATGGAATCACAGGAATCTTGTGAAAAAAGTCACCCCACAGCTCCAGAGAGCAGGGAATGTCACCTCCCAGCCCTCCCTGCTGTCACCTCCCCACCCCACAGAGCCCAGGGTGGGGCATTAAAGTGTCATCTGGACTGAGCTGAGCACACGGACTCAGTAAATCCACGTCCTGAAACTGCTGAGTTCCTCAGCACCCAACCCAAACCACCACCCAGCCCACAACCCCACAGCCCCAGACACCAGGGAACAGCATGTCACTTCCCTCACTTCCCTGTTGTCACCTCCCCACCCCACAGAGCCCAGGGCAGGGCATCGAAGCATCATCTGCACTGGGCTGAGCTGAGCACACAGGTCCTGAAACTCTTGGGTTCCTCTTCAGCCCAACCCAAATCACCACCCAAACCACCACCCCACAGCTCCAGACACCAGAGAAGCAGAACCTCACTTCCCTCACTTCCCTGTTGTCACCTCCCCACCCCACAGGGCCCAGGGGGAGGATTAAAACATCGCTTGGATTGAGCTGAGCACACGGACTAAGTAAATCCACATCCTGAAACTGTCCAGTTCCTCAGAACCCAACCCAAACCACCACCCAAACCACCACCCCACAGCTCCAGACACCAGGGAATGTCACCTCCCCACCCCACAGAGCCCAGGGCGGGGGACCAGAGCATCCCTTGGACTGCTCAGAGCCCGTGGACTCACTCAGGATGATGGTGACCGTCTTGACCAGGCTGATCATGGTCTCCTTGTAGCGGGGGTGGAAGCTGGTGTGCTTGGACATCCTGGTCATCTTCCTCTTGACGTAGATGAAGATGTGCGTGTACACCACCACCATGATGAGGAAGATGACGAGGTTGGAGATGGCCCAGAAGGTCAGGTAGCTCCTGCTGTAGAGGGGGGCCATGCTGGAGCACTTGTCCAGGGCGCAGAGGCAGTGCCAGCCGTAGGAGGGGATGAGCCCCAGCAGCAGCGCCGTGACCCAGATGCAGAAGATGAGGATGGTGACGCGCTGGTTGGACATCTTGCTGTGCAGCTGCATGGTGAACACCGTCTGGTGCCGCTCCACGGCGATGGCCAGCAGGTTCACCACCGAGGCCGTCAGGCTGGTGTCCAGCAGGCTCTGCCGGATGAACCAGGTCTTGAGGGATAGCTCGGCCGTGCGGGGGCCCGTGTGGAACATGAGGAACATGTAGGCGATGCCCGCGAACAGGTCGGCGGCCGCCAGGTTGCCCAGCAGGTAGTAGATGGGGTAGTGGAAGCGGCGGTTGATGACGATGGCCGTGATGACCAGCAGGTTGGTCAGCAGCACGATGACGCTCACGGTCAGGCCCAGGGCCACCACCAGCACGTCCTTGGTGCGCCAGTACGTGGTCAGCTCCTTGCGGGAGTTGTTGTAGAAGAAGCCCACGGTCTCGTTGTAGAAGCAGTGCCTCATGGCGGCGGCCCTGGGGGGGACAGGAGGGTTGGGGACACCTCAGGGGGACACGGCCGGGGGGGCAGAGCCCTGCAGGAGGGCTCTTGGCAGGGGTGGGGCCTGGAACAACCACAGGGTGGATGGGAGAGAGCTTGGAACACTGGAACAACCGCAGGAGGGATGGGACAGGGAGGAGCTTGGAACATTCAGGAACAACCACAGCATGGATAGGAGAGCTTGGAACACCCAGGAACAACCACAGGGAGGAGCTGGGAACACCCAGGAACAACCACAGGAGCAACAGGAAAGTCCTCAGCTGTCCCCAGAGCCCTCAGCTGCCCCCAGAGTCACCCTGAGGAGGCAGCAGGACCTGGAAGGCTCCTGGGAGGAGGTTGGATCTGCCAGATCTGATGAGGGAATGTCCCGGCCCGGCCCACGGGACAGACTAAACTGTTGTGGTTGTCCCAGACGTGATGCTTCAGAAATGTGAAAACAAAGAGGGTTTATCAGCCAGTTCCTAAACATTCTCCCCCCCCATGGAGGCTGAGGCTCCACAGCTGCTGCTGCCCCAGGAATGCTCTGGGAGCACCAAAGCTCAGCCTTCCTGGGCAGTTTTGCTGCTTAAAGCCCAACAGAAGCCACGGCTGCTTCCAGACACTGCTCCATGTGCTGGTCCTTCCTGAACAGGTGGGGGCTTCCCAAACTCTGCCCGAGGCAAAGAGAGGGATGGGAACGGCCCCTCAGCCCTGGAGAGTGAATGGCAGCAATAAATGAGGACACACAGCCATGGGGTGGATCTCTGCAAGAGCTGGGCCATCCAGGACATTTTGGGACCACATGGACTGTGTGGGATCATGGAATCGTGGAATGGGCCGGGTGGGAAGGGACCTTAAAGCTCATCCTGTCCCACGGGCAGGGACACCTTCCATGGCTCAGGTTGCTCCAAGCCCCATCCAAACTGGCCTTGGACACTTCCAGGGGTGAAGCAGCCACAGCTTCTCTGGGAATTCCATCCCAGCCCCTCCCCACCCTCTCAGGGGGGGGATTTCTCCCCAATATCTGCCCTAAACCTTCTGTTTTCTGGTTTAAAGTCACCTGTGCAGCGAGGGAAGCGACTCCCTTCTTCCCAGCCAGCTCTGGATTGAGGCTGAAGCCCCAAAAATCCCCAAATTGGGTGGAAAAACCGTATAGAAAAAGCTGTTTGAGGCTCCTCACGTTTCTTTGACACCCAGGGCCGTGCTGGGAGCAAGACCTGACAAGCCTCCGGTGTGGATTCCAGCAGGAAGAATCCATTCCCAAAGCTGCAGCTTCCTGGTCCCTGAGGAGCCGAGCACGAGCAGCAGGGAAAGGTAAGGATATTTCACCCCCCAGCCTCGGGTTTTACACCTGGGAATCAACAGGGTTTTGCTCCAGCGGGAGAGGACCCAGCCCATGGCAGGGGGTGGAACCAGAGGAGCTTCAAACAGTTCCCTTCCCATCCAAACCATTCCATGGTTGACTCGTCCATAAAAAAAAAAAAAAAGGCAGGAAAAACACAGCCCGAGGGATGAGAACCCGCTGATCCCACCCCACAGATGTTCCTGCTCCTTCCCTAACCCAGAGCCTGGAAATCTCAAGTCAGGCCTGGCTTTGGTCCCACAGGGATGGGCAAACCCGGCCCGGAGCCTCCGGAGGTGCCGAAAAATGACACGGATTTTCCTTCCCCTGGAGAGTTGTGCACATGAATCACCGGCTCTGCCCGTCCCCGAACATCCACTCGGGAAGCTGAGCCAGGGGAGGGTCAGGCTGGGTATTTGGGAGAGGTTTCCATCCAGAGGGTGGTCGGGCACTGGGAACAGGCTCCCCAGGGATCGGTCATGGCTCCAAGGCCGCCAGAGCTCCAGGAGTGTTGGGACAACAGGGACAGGGTGGGATTTTGGGGTGTCCTGAGCAGGGCCAGGACTTGGACTTGATAACCCTTGTGGATTCCTTCCAACTCAGGATATTCCATGATTTTAGAGCTCAGGGAGCATTTGGATAACACCCTCAGGCACAGGGGGGGATTTTGGGGTGTCCCGGGCAGGGATTGGACTCGACGACCCTTGTGGGTCCCTCCAGCTCAGGACATTCCACGATCCTCCTCATTTCGGAGAAGGCAGCAGGAACACAACTGTCTCCAAACAGGGAGGAACCCCCGAGTGCCTGAGTCAGCCCCGCGTTAATCACCCCGAAACCCAAACCCCGCTCGGGGCCCTCCCGTTCCCGAGCTCTGCAGGCAGAGGAGACTCCAGGGCTGCGTTTTCCGGGACGCTCCGACCGGAGCCCTCGGAGTAGCAACAGGGATCGTTCCGGGCTTATCTGCGGCACCGCACCCACCTGGGTTGTGCAAACAAGGAGCCGAGCCAAGAAAACCCCATTGTACCTGCAGCTGAACTTTTGATCCCGCTGCCTCCTCCGACACCCCCCGAGGGGAGAGCTGGACACCCGGGATGGGCCACTCAGAAAGCTGCTGAGCGGGGAAATATCGCCTTTCATAAACATTGGAGGGGGGAGAAGGAAAAGGGGAGGGGAGGAGTCAGGCTGCCCCGGGGGGGGATTTTAGGCGGGCTGGGCCTGTGTAGCAAGCCCGTCTTCCCTCTTTTCCTCAGCTCGTGGGATGTTTGTGGACCCGGAGCCGAGCGGGAGTCGCGCGGTCCCGATGGAATGGGAGGGACGGGAGGAGCCTGCGGTGGCCTGGCAGGTAACCGGGAGCGTTCTGGCTGGAATGTGGGGAGCTGGAGGAAGGACGAGGAGGGGAGGAAAGCCCTGGCAGAGGAGGAACGCTGTGAATCACGACAGGTTGACGAGCACCTTCCCAGGGTGTTCCCGGGCAGGTACGGGATCAAGGCCGGGCCATTCACATACAGAACAGCTTCCTCTCCATGTGCAACAGCCCCAAATCGCTGGAGTTCAGGAAGTCACAGAATCACGAACGGTTTGGGTGGGAGGGGACATTTTAAGGTCACCTCGTTCCACCCCCTGCCGCGGGCAGGGACACCTTCCACTATCCCAGGTTGCTCCAACCTGGCCTTGGACACTTCTAGGGATGGGGCAGCCCCAGCTTCTCTGGGAATTCCATCCCAGCTCCTCCCCATTCTCACAGGGAACCCACCTAAATCTTTCCTCTTTTAGTTCAAATCCCTTCCCCCCTTGTCCTGTCACTCCCTGCCCGGGTGAATCTCACAAACCCCCTCCGAGCCCCGGCATCACACACAAATCCGGAGCGTCCACGCTGATGCCAGGACCCAAACCCGCTTCTCTGGGCAGGACTTGGAGCGCGGGGAAAACTCGGAGCGCCAAATCCCTCCGGAACGTGCCGAGGGCTCGGAGCCCGCCCCGCTCGGGGTGTTGCGGAGCAGGGAGCGACAGGTTAACAACGCCCGTGAGCGGCTCCGGGAGCTCCGCTGCCACCCTGCAATTACCGCCCGACCTTGGGGCTCGGCACAAGGACGGCCGGGGCCAGAAATCCCCATCGCCCGGGAGGGGATGAGAAAAGAGCCCGAGGAGCAGCAGAGCCGAGCCGGGGCTGGGGCCATGATGCACAAAGGAGCTGGATGAGTCTATTGTTCGGTGTCCGAGCAACCCCCCGGGCTCCGCTCGGCTCTGCCCGGCGCGAGGTCCGGGCTCTCCGGCTTTGTTTACTCGGTAAAACGAGCGGCTGGCTCCGAGCTGCGCCCGCTCACGGCCCCCTCGCCTTGAGCAATCGGCAAACACCGCCCGGCTCCCCCCGCGTCCAAGCGCGGCTCTTCCAGGGGGGCAGGAGCCGGCTCGGAAGGAGGGCAGGACACGTCGTGTCTCCTCTGGGATTTCTCGCCCTCCGCAGCTCGAGTTCGCGGCGAGTTCAGGAGTCCTCCGCGCCGCGGTAAAGGTGTGATTCCTTTTTAATTCCTGGGTAATTCCAGTTCCTCCCGGGGAAGCACTTAACTCCAGGGTCTAGGAAGGCATCCGCCACTTGTTGCCAGCCCCGCAGCCGCGCATGGAGCGGGGATGAATGGCTTGGAATTCGGCTCCCACTTAATAACCACAATCAGCGCCGATCGAGGCGGAACAATGGATCCGTAAAGGCTCCCGGGGCTCACATCCAACCTGTTTTACCCACGGCTTTCGAGCCAACCGCTCCAACCGCCGCTCCATTTTTTAAGCCTGGAAGAGCATTTTTACTCCCGAGAGGAAAATCTTACCTGGGAACTCAACGCCGCCTCCAAACCCGGCGCTCAGCATCGACCTCGGCGCCCCGGGGAGCCAGGGCGGCGATCCTGCGAGGGGATCCCCATCTCCTGGAGGGCAGAGCCGCTTCCCAAGCCGGGGAACAACCCCCTCTCCCCCCCGAGCGCCTCACAGGAAAGTTTGAGCC